GGTTATTTAGAACCCTTCAAAATAAACCATCCAAGGTCAAAACCACTAGTAGACTTCAGAACTCTTCAAACAAATTAAAAAAGAAAACATGGAATCAATCCATTTATTTGTAAAAAATGTGGAAACACCTTTGGGATGAGAGGGGACTAGAATGAGAAGAGTTGTGGGAAGCTTTGACATTGCACTTGTGGCTCTAATTTTAATCCCAAAAGGTCTCTCAAAGATCACATCAAGCCTTTGGACATGGTTATTCAACTTATAGGGTGGTGGTCACGAAGATGACAATCATGCTTCTGAGATTGGACATCTCATTAGCTTGTACTTGACAAATCTCTCCTCAAGGCCACAAAACATAGGTGCTAGTTATATCAGTTCAGTGCCATACTTTTTTCTCATTTTCTCTTCAATGTCAATTTTTTTTTAATGGTTCTATTTGGTTTATAATAGGAGGACAACACTTCATCAAGAAGGGCTATTTGAAAGGATTGGGTTTTGTTACAAAGTTATGGTTTTCATCCAAGGGAATAAAAAAGCATAATGCTCTTTCTTTCTTCATAAACTTTTAGTGGACAATGCCCCCTTTCAATTCTAATTGAATTCTAATTGGAAGCTGCAATGCAAGTATTTGAACTAAGGTTCTATTCTCTGTTTTTAAGAAACCTGTTTCAAGAAGAAGGGAAAAAATGAAACGTGCTTACATATATAAGATGAACAATAATGTTCTATTCTCTTTTTTTTACTTTTATATGATATTTAGATTTTGTTGCTTTGGTGTTTGATAAAGGAAGAGCTTGAAATAGCGTGAAAAAGAAAGGAACAAGAAAAAACTCCAACATATGTCAAAACTTTTGTAGTATTTTGCCCATCTCTTCGAATCACTTATATATATACTTTGATAATGGTGCAGGATTCCTTGAAAGCACTAATTGGCAAGCAACAACGACCAATTTATCAATTGACATTGCCTAGAGTCGGCCACAAAGATGCAACCTAGGCTCTGATACTAAATTGATAAGGCAACCCTAATGCTCAACACAACGATCAAGCTTTTGTTGAAGCAAGGAAGCACTAATTGGCAAGCAACTGGCAAGCAACAACGAACAATTCATCAATTGACATTGCTAAAAGGGTGGAACATAGAAGACATTGATGTCGGTTCGAAAACCTTTAGGGTTGGTAGACTTGATTTTATCAAAATCAAAGATGTCACATATCGTGGATAGTGAGTTTTTGTTCTATTTATTATGTATTGGGTGGGGATGAACTGATTTGAAAATTGTGATAGTGTAACGAGTATGACAATCTTATATAGATTGAGTTGAATACTTTATTTTGTAATGTGTTAGTAGATTATTAAATTTCAATTATATCTTTGTTATAGCATAAGATTAAAAGTATAAATATAGCTTATTAAAAATTAATGACAGCATAATATTATTAACAAAAATGCTATAAAATGTTTTTATAGCATGGCATATAAGCTATATTTAGGTACTATATTATAACATTTATTATAGCTCTACAAAAACGCTATAAAAAATTTCAAACTTTTAATAACATGGGCTGTCACAACGTACGAAAAACGCTATAAAAGGTCTATGATTGCATTTTTTGGAAGCTATCTAATCCAATATTTGCTGTAGTGTGAGGGCTTCCTCCTCCGAGCCCTATCTTCTCAAGCTCGATTGAACCCGCGATTGTAATATTCGGTAGAAATTCTTACTACCATTTGTGCGTAAGCTTCAAATTTGATGAATGTGATACATATGTTCAATAAAAAAACGTCTTAAGAATTCTATTCTCAAACCATTTTTCTATGTTACTTTAATTGATATCATTGATGACTTTTTTTAATTTTTAAATAAATTTCGTTGGCATTTTAGGATTTTTTTTTTCCTACATATTTTAGTCTTTGATTATATTTATTAGAGATGGTACTAAAACTAAAATTCAAAAGATAAAAAACCTTTAGCGTCCAAGACCCTACCAACCAAATTTTGACAAGAAAACTTTAATTTTACGGTTTAAAGCATAAGATAAAAAGAATTTAGTCATGATCAATAATTTTTATTTTTATCTTTTTTTTTGTTTGGGAAGAATGTTCAAATTTGATTCATTCGAGTCAATTTTCTTCATTTTCAAAGGTAATTTGTGATTTTTTTCATATTTCAAAGGAGCGTCGATAGCAAGTTTGAAAAAACTTATTTCTTGTTTTAGTCTCTTACTTAAATCTACTCGAGTCTGTATCAAACTAAAAAAATTGGAAAGGAACAAAACATTTAGTTTTGTATATCAAACCTTAAAATCCAAACCCCAACAAGAAAACCTAATTTTACCATTTAAAGCATAAGGTAAACAAACTAAGGTAAGGTAAGATCAATATGACTTTATAAATATTTTTCATTTTTCATTTTGTTGGGAGAATGTTAAAATTTGATGGATTTGACGTATATGTTCGATAAAAAACACATTTATGAACGTATGTGATTTGTTATTACACATATTTTATGTCACCATTGTCTTTTCTTATGTTTTCTTAAATATACTCATTATGATGTCATTGTGTTATGGTTGTGTTCTTACCCTATGAATCCCTTTGTACTTGTGAGGACATGCTTTTGAATGACATTAATGTGTGCATTTGTCAACTAAGAATGAGATCTTTGTTACTATTCAAAACAATTGGTTCACTCTTTTGATTTTTTTTTTTTTTTCTTCTTCTTCTACCATTTTGAATTTGGGTAGATGGACTCCAACGAGAACTCTTTCTACAAGGAAATAGAGAAAGTTGACTACAACTAACGGTGTTTTGTAGGTTGAGTTAGATAGAGTTATAGTCTTTAAATCCAATCTAATTGTTCAAGTTTTTCAACTAAAACAATTCTTACTAAATACTTAACCAAATCTAATTCAACCATAATTTTTTTTTTCCTTACTAAATACTTAACCAAATCTAATTCAACCATAATTTTTTTTTTATTTAAGTTAGTTCAAAATTTTGTTTTTAATAAAAGTAAATGTTAGTTATAAAACACTATTTACTTATTTTTAAATATTTAAATAAAATTTGTCACTCAATACTAATCTATATTTAAAAAAAAATGTTTTAAATAGTTAAAAATCATTTTTAAGAGTGGTTGGAGAATAAATAATAATAAAATAATAAAAATGAAATAAGTATATGGGCATATAATTGTATGGTAGCCTACTTAACCTAAATTTTAAAACTGGACCTCAATATATAATTTTTTATTTATTTATTTGAACTCAACTTAACCTAAATAAGTATATAATCTAGTATTGATTATGTAACATCTTACCATCAATTAGAAATTAAAAAGTCAATTCTTTTTAAGTTAAAATTTGAAAATTTATTAAGATCTTTAGAAATTAAATTTCAAGATGATGCGATAGAAAATCATTTTTAAAAAAATCCCAAAAACTTAAAAGGAAAAAATATAAAAGAAAATAGTGAAAAAATTGAAAAATCTGTCGAAGTCCAAGAGTGAATCTGTCATCTTGACCATCTAATTAGGGGTCTAAATGAGCCTTGGTTAATGATAAAGTTTTCTTAAAGTTTGAGAGTTTTCTTAGCGTGAGAAAGATTCGGTTTACTGGTTGGATTACAAACAATTGTTCATTAGAGGATCAGTGGGACAAGGAACAGAAAGTAACTTCATGGGTAAAACAATAAATTAACCTAGCTCTAGTTACGAACAACCTGTGAAGGATCGACTTACTAATCATGGTTATATCAAATGGACAAAAATATATCTATAGTGAGGGGGAGTGCAAATCCAAATTGCTTCCGCATGTGTCATGACAACACCATGAAAAGTATTGTGATGGAACCAACAAACACAAGAAGCCATGTAGGAAAGGAAAAATGATCCAAGAGAGAAATACCCTGAGTTGAGTTGATGTAGGAGTTTTGACACTTTCAGGAAGAAAGTTCATTTTTGGAATATATAATGTAACAACTCAAAAAAAAAAAAATTGACGCCATTCAAAATCGCATGTTTTCAACCAGAAATCTCATGTTTTCAACCACCCATGACACCTACAAAGAGGTGCACGCAGAAAATTAATCCCACACTTATCTTTCGATAACGTGAAACGTAGAGGACAAGAACGAACAACGAGTGATTTCAGTGCCTCGGAGTGCAACGTCAGTGACATTTTGATTCGGTTTTAACACTCAATGGAGGATGAGAAACGCAGTGAGAGAAACGGTCAATGACTCCAAGCATTCCAGTGGTAAGCTTCGTTGTGTTTTATGACTATTTTACTGCTTAAAACGTCGTTGGCGATGGTGTGAGTTATGGAGAAACTATAACGTCGGAAAAACTAGCATTTGCAAGTGCAAAAGGTTATTTCAATGTCATGGGTGTGAAGGAGAAGCAAACAAATACCCAAAGTAGTCGGGATCTAGATCGAGGAATGATGGAGGAGAAGTATCAGAAGCCTTGGGGAAGAGAGAGATCAAATCAAATTTTTTTCGTGAGTTAGGCAATGAAGACAAGGCTTTCAGGTTGGACTCGAATCGAAACATACTGTAACGACCCAATTTTTGAGGACCTCAAGCCATGGACGGTTTCTTACTAACTTGGAAATAAGTAAAAAATGCGTAAAATTTAAAACTATTGAACGTACATGCACTCGAAGGAAGGGTTAAAAATCACGTATTTGTTTAGATTGCTTTTTCGGTTAGTGTCTAATTAAATCTACTAGGAGTTAGATTTAGTTTTGATTTGATTTACTTTTGATTTGAATAGATTTGATTATTATTATTATTTTATTTTATTTTTTATTTTATTTTTTTTATTTTTATTTTTTTTTTTCTGCAGATTGTTAGGTAGATTTTCTAAATATCTTTTTGTATTCTCCGGAGCATTCTGGCTCTTCATAATTTAAAATCTTCTCATCAACTATTTAATCACTCATTCTTTCCCTAACAATTGGTATTTGAGCTATGTTCTTAAGGGATTTGTGAGATCAAAATGGGAGGAGAATCTAGTTTTTCAACTGTTGCACCACCAGTCTTCGATGGAGACAATTATCAAATATGGGTAGTTCGTATGGAGACTTATTTGGAGGCTTTGGATCTTTGGGAAGCAATAGAAGAGGATTACGAGGTCCCTCCGCTTCCAACAAATCCTACTGTAGTACAAATCAAATTACAGAAAGAAAAGAAGACAAGGAAATCAAAGGCAAAAGCTTGCCTATTTGCCGTTGTATCTCAAATGATCTTCCGTCAAAACAGCAAAGGAAATCTGGGATTATCTCAAGACTGAATATGAAGGAGATGAGAGGATTCGTGGAATGAAAGTCCTGAATTTGATTAGGGATTTCGAGTTGCAAAAGATGAAGGAGTCTAAATCGGTGAAAGAGTACTTTGACAGACTTCTCAGCATTGCTAACAAGGTGAGATTGCTTGGTTCTATATTAAATGATTCCAAGATCGTTGAAAAGCTGCTAGTCACTGTTCCAGAGAAGTTTGAAGCCACCATTACTACTCTGGAGAACACCAAAGACTTGTCAAAAATTTCTCTTACAGAGCTCTTGAATGCTTTACAAGCACAAGAGCAAAGAAGGTCTATGAGGCAGGAAGGGGTGATTGAATGTGCTTTACTTGTTAAGCATCAAGACAGCAGCAGGTATAAAAACAACAAAAATTTCAAAAATCAATTGACGTATGGAGATTCATTTGCCAATTATCAGAAGACAAAAGGAGGAGGTTTCAAAAAATCCTATCCACCTTGCCGCCATTGTGAGAAGAAAGGTCATCCACCATACAAGTGTTGGAGAAGACCTGACACCAAATGCTCCAAATGCAATCAACTTGGACATGAAGTTTTGATCTACAAAGTCAAAGGACAGGTGAAAGAAGTAGATGCACAGATAGTTGATCAAGAAGAAGAAGATCAATTGTTTTTGGTCACTTCTTCCTCAAGCAAATAATCCAGCGAGAGCTGGTTGATTGACAGTGGGTGCACAAATCATATGACATATGACAAGGAGTTTTTTGAAGAATTAAGAGGCACTAAACTCAAGAGAATGAGGATTGGCAATAGTGAACACTTGAAAGTCAAGGGAAAAGGCACAGTAGCTATAACAAGCTATGAAGGTACAAAATTTATTCCAGATGTTTTATTTGTACCTAAAATTGATCAAAATCTCTTAAAATTTTGTACCTAAAATTGATCAAAATCTCTTAAGCGTTGGTCAGTTACTTAATAAAGGTTATAAAGTGTTGTTTGAGAATAAGCGGTGCTTGATCAGAGATGCTAGTGGCAAAGACTTGTTCAATGTCAAAATGAAAGGAAAAAGCTTTGCTCTAAATCCGACGGCCTTTATATCCAGAGTTAGTGCCACTGAGATTTGGCACAAAAGACTTAGACACTTTCATCATCGAAGTTTGCTTCAGATGCAATCAAAGAAGCTGGTAGAAGAACTCACTGACATTGATGAGTGTTGGCTTTTTCGCCTTAATCTCAAATTAATTAATTAATTAATTGATGTTTTGATGATAACAAACCTACCTTCAATTATTAAACATTCTCAGTATTTTTGTCCACTGAGAATAATGATTTCAACGTCGTTTTTTGGTTCACTCAAATTAGAGATAAAACGAAGAAGTTTCAGTCAAAACAAATACCCGACGTGATGATGTGGTGGCAAAATTGACATTATGGACCAATCAAATTCAAAACAAGATACCTGACGTGATGATATGGTGACAAAATTGATGATGTGGTGACAAAATTGACATCATGGACCAGCGGTAAAATTGACATCATAGACCAATCGAAATATGACATCTATAAATTTGGTAGAGTAACAAATGGGGGAGTTTTCAATTACATTTATAAAAGTTTTCCATTACTTTTGAAGTGGAATTTTCAATTACATTTATAAAAGTTTCCATTACTTTTAAATTATAAAATCATTTAAGCAAAGGGTGGAGTTTTCAATTTCATTTATAAAAGCTTTCATTACTTTTAAATTATAAATTCATTTCAATTACATTTATAAAAGTTTTCGATTATTTTAAATGGAAATAAATTATAAAGATTTCATTTACATTTATGAAAACTAGTTGTTCCTTTTAAATTAAAAAAAAATTATAATGATTTCATTTATGAAAACCAGTTATTACTTATAAACGGAAAGAAATTATAATGATTTCATTTAGTTTTGATAAACATAATTATTTGAATTACAAAATCATTTCAATTATAAGAATTTCATTTTGATTTATAAAACTTTTAATTATTTTTAAAATGTTATTCACCGTTTTCATTAACATTTTTTTATATTATTGCATTTAAATATGTTATATATATATATATATATATAATAAAAATGAATTTAAAATGGTTTTAATATTTATTTAAAATAATATATATATATATATATATATATATATATATATATATATATATATATTTATTTATTTAAATGAAACATGTGGTCTATAATTTTTTACGATAAATTTAAAAATAAATAAATATTATTTTTCGTGGTCCACGTTTCGGTTCACGTTTTAGTGGTCCGTATCAATTCCTATTTTTACAACTTGATCGCTATTTAAACTCATCGCCTCTTCGTATTTTTCAGAACAACACACAGAACATTTGTTTCCTCATCTAATTCTTTTTTTAAAAGTCTCCATTGTTGCTCTCTCCAAAGCTTCCAATTCTATTTTTTTTTTATCTTATTCCGGAGAGAGATGTCTATTACTTCAGAGTGTTGTGGTGGGTTTCTATAAGATTTCAGACAATTGTACCGGTTTGATCTTGAGTCGTGGAAAGGATTGAGTTTGCTCTTGAACTCGTAAAAAGAGCGGTGTACTGGTTTGATCCTGAGCTGTGGAAAGGATTGAGTTTGCTCTTGCACTCGTAAAAGGAGCAGTGTAGCGGTTGGACTTTGATCCGAGGAAAGAGTTATAAAGTTTTATTCAAATTTCCAAGAGGCGCTTGGGGAGTGGAGTATCGAGTTTGATCGAACCACTATAAAACTAGGGTGTTATATTTTCTAACCCTTTTCCTATTTAAGTTCTAAATTATTGGGGAGTGGTTGATCGAACCACTCTAAAACTAGGGTGTTATATTTTCTAACCCTTTTCCTATTTAAGTTCTAAATTATTGTTAAATTTTATTGCATGGTATCAAGTTTGATTGTTATTAAAAAAAAAATTGAATAATTACATATTGTTGAAACCCTATTCACCCCTCTAGGGTTGTCATATCTATCCAACAATTGGTATCAGAGCAAGTTGCTTTTATTGATTTTTTTAAAACTTTATTTTTAGAGATTATGGCAAATCTACGTGTTAAAAACGATTTTTGTGAAGGACAATCAACTTCTAGACCTCCTTATTTTGATGGATCTAATTATACGTATTGGAAAGCTATAATGAAAATTTATTTGCAATCGATTGATTATCAATTATGGTTAAATGTTAGTAAAGGTCTTATATTCCCATAAAAACTGTTAATAATATTGTGGAGCTTAAAATGGAGATGAATTTGATGAGCATGATATGAAACAATGTTCTTTTAATGCTAGTGGTATAAACTGTCTCTATTGTGCCCTAAGTAATGATGAATTTAATAGAGTATCTATGTGTTCTTCAGCATATGAAATTTGAAAAACTCTTGAAGTAACTCATAAGGGAACAAATCAAGTTAAAGAAACAAAGATCGGTATATTAGTTCATAATTATGAACTATTTAAAATAGATGCAAATGAATCTATAGGTGATATGTTTACTAGATTTACGAATATTCTAAATGCTTGGAAAAGTATATTCTACTTCTGAAAATGTGGAAAATTCTTAGGTTTCTACCTAAATGTTGGGAAGCAAAAGTGACGGCAATTCAAGAAGCAAAGGATCTCACAAAGCTTCCTTTGGATGAACTTGTTGGTTCTCTCATGACGCATGAAATTACCATGAAGGAGCGTATGGAAGAGGAGGAGAGCGCATAGAAGAGGAATCCAAAAAGAAGAAAAGTATAGCCCTAAAGTCCATCACATTGGAAGTTGACTCCGACGATGAGGAAGCCCTTGATGAAGATGATGTTGCCTACTTCACACGTAAGTATAAAAAATTCATCGAAAGAAAGAAACAATTTAGAAAACATTTCACGAACCAAAAAGGTGAGAAGAGCAAACATGATGAGATAATATGTTATGAAGGTAAAAAGTCGGGTCATATAAGACCAGATTGTCCTCTCCTCAAATTATCTAAGAAATCTAGGAAGAAAGCAATGAAGGCTACTTGGGATGATAGTAATGAAAGTGCAAGTGATAAAGAAGTCGCAAATTTTTGTTTCATGGCTCATAGTGACAAAGATGATGAAGAAAATGAGGTAATTCTTGACTCTCCTTCTTATGATGAATTATTTAAAGTTTTTGAGAAGATGCAACTTGATTTAGAAAAACTTGGTTCAAAGTATGTTATACTTCAAAAGAAATATAAGGCTTCAATTATTGAAAATAAGTCGTTATTAAATAAAATTTCTTGCTTAAGGCGATAAAAGAGGATTAGGCTATATTGATGAATGTTCTACTCTTTCAAGTTTTAAAACAATATTTGTTAAACCATCCCCCATTATGCCTAAGCCTAACACATGCAAATTTGTATATGAGTATGATAGATCTAGATTTGTGCCTATATGTCATTATTGTGGTGTTGAAAGTCATATTAGACCTAATTGCTTTAAATTGAAAAATTCTCAAAACATTACTTCCGGGAGAAAATTTTCTACCAATATAAAATTTAACAATGTTTTAAGAAATAATTTTTCTATTGAAAATAGAATACATAAACTTAGTCCAAGAAATAAAAAACTGTATGATGTTGTTTGTTTCTCGTGTGGTAAGTTTTTTTGGTAAGCTTTTTAATATGAATGCAAGCATGATTCCTAAATTTGTGAAAACTAACTTGTTAGGACCCAAACAAGTATGGGTACCAAAAGGTCGATTTTGAATATCTTTATTTATAGGTTTATTTGAAAGCCTCCATAAAAAACAAGTGGTATTTGGATAGTGGTTGCTCAAGACACATGACGGGAAACCAATCCAAGTTTGTGAATTTTTTCAAGAAGGATGACGGCTTAGTAACTTTTGGCGACAATAAGAAAGGTAAAATAATTGGTAAGGGTACTATAGGTTGTTGGATCGGTATGGCAACCCTAGAGGGGGGGGGGGGAATAGGGTTTTAACGATAAAAGTGTTTAAACGTGATTAATTTTTCTAATGATGAAACTTTTTACAAATAAGTAGAAGGTGATAATTACTAGATCAAAATAATTCAAGTCAAAACAATAATCTAGTAGAACATGCAATAAATCACAATAATAATTTTGAAATTAAATAGGAAAGAGTTAGAGAAAATGACACCGTAGTTTTATAGTGGTTCGGTCAAACTCGACCTACTTCACTCCCCAAGCGCCTCTTGGGAATTTGAATAAAAAACTTTCTCGACTCTTTCCACGGATCAGAGTCAAACCGCTACACCGCTCGTTTTACGAGTTCAAGAGCAAACTCAATCCTTTCCACGGCGCAGGATCAAACCGATACAAATATTTGAGTTTGATAGTAACACACCACAACTCTCTCAAAGAGTAGATTTACAATTTGGAACACTCACAACTATTTCCTCACAATACAATAATAATCCCTCTCAAGAATAAGATGAAGTGAAATAAACTTGTAAGCTTGGAGAGAGCAACAAACAATGGAGACTTTGAACAAATGAGGATTGGAGAATATAGGTAAGTTGTGTGTCTTAAAATGTGGGGGAAGATGAGTTTATATAGAGGAGAAAAGTGGCAAAATGTAGGAATTAATATTGACCATTGGATTGTGTTAGGAATAATGGAAGGTGGAGATGAAAAGTAAATAAATAAGAAAATTTTCCAAATTCATTTATTTGAAATTTTTAATATAATAAT